TTGCCATGAAATGCACAACTTGTTCACGAAAATTTGCATTTAAACATTCGTTTTATCTGCCCCCACCTGCATTAAATAATAGTGACCTATATAAAATGCTGTGATGTCGTTTGAAACACATCAGTATGCGTTTATTTATTGAACTTTTACGCATGAATTTAGTCCATGAACGTCTATTTCAAAGCTCAATTCCAAACCAAATAAGAACACTTCTATATTTTGGTGTTAAAATAATGTTGGCATCGTATGGATTATTTGTTAGAAGATGAACGTGCCCACAGCGTGCGCGCGCATATGACTGCACCTCTGGCTGGTACGTACACGCACGCGGTTGGAGTCATTTGCATAAACTGCCAGTGCTGCTGCTGCTGCTGCTGCTGCTGCTGCTGCTCCTGTCGCCAGGGAATTCATAAAAGCAACGATTCTACGGGACAACGAACAAAATGGTTAAATAGTTCGGATCTAAGGTCTGTGAAAATAATAATTAAGGTCAAGTTTTCAAGTGGAAAGAGTCATTTCCTAGTATGTTATTTGCACGTGTGAGGACTCAACCAGAACTTGAACTAGACCAAGATTGAAGATCCATCCAGAATGAAAAAAAGTCTAAAGTCAGAGAAAAACAGAAAAGATCTCCGCTAGGACTGCACCAAGTAGAACTAAACCACAAGAAATCAGGAGGAAAACAGGTCTAAACTATAGGTCTAAACTAGGACAGAATCATGGCCAAATCAGGATTAAACCAGATCTAAACTAGAACTAAACCTAAACTAGGACAGAATCATGACCAAATTAGGACTAAACCAGAGCTAAACTAGAACTACATCAGGACCAGAACCAGGACCAAACAGGTTTAAACTTGAGACCAAATCATCATGGACAAACAAGGACTAAATTCAGACTAAACCAGGATTAAACTTGGTGTAAACCAGGACTAAAGCGGGTTTAATAATAATACATGTTATTTATTAGGTGCCTTTCTGGACACTTAAGGTCGCCTTATAACAATAAACAAATACAGAACATAAACAAAGTTAAATACAATTTAAAAACATACAAAAAATATTTAACTAGGACTAAACCAGGTCTTAAACAGGACTAAACCAGGTCTAAACTAGGATTACACCAGGACTAAACCAGGCCAAACCCAGGACTAAACCAGGACTGAACTAGAATAAGAAGCAACAGCAAAAAAAAACAAACATTCAAGTCAATTGTAGAAAGTAATAAACATATTATCAGTCCTCCTATAGAAAAACTGCATACACTTTTACGCACAGCTCGTTTAAAGAGGTTACAGTCTATGTGAAGTGAAAAACGTGTGACGAGGCAGCGCGACACCTGGCGGCTCACGACGCTGCCAAATCCCAAAACGTGTCCAAAATATATCACCAGCAACTCCGTGCGTAACTTTTATTTCACATCTAATAAACCGACAGTCTATGGAACTATTTCCTTCCTCCGCGTCCCCCCACACACCGCCGCTGCTCCCGCTACTACCACGGCTCTTTATCTCTCCTCCAGTGCACAAACATACAGCTTAATGCGCCTAGTGTTCCCCCCTTTTTTATACGGGGCTCACCATGACGACCTAAGCGCGCAGCTCAGCAATGCACTCCCCGGCATCAATGAAACCAACCACCGCGTGAGAAAAACAAAACGAGAGCCGTGGAGAGGCGCTGGTTCAAAAAATCCTTCCCTGTACTTTTAAAACAACTTTTAAGCCAGTATTTATCAGATAGAATCGCGTTTTCAGTGTATCCAAAACTAAATCTTTACGTGCGTGGATGGGAGTCGTCTTTCTTGCGCGTAAACTTTAAACAAACTTGCAACAATCGATTTTATAAAACGATTTCGTATCTCAAGAGGATTTAAACCGAGTGGGGGTCTTCGCTAGGCTATCCCCCCTCACCAACACTATCGCTTGTCTTCCTCCTCTCCTCTCCTACTCTCCTCTCCTCCGCGCTCTCCTCCTCTTCCTCCTCTCCTCTCTCGACCGCTTTAAAACGTGATTGATTGCAGTTTTCTTCGCTGGTCGCTCGCTCACGAAAACGAGCACGGCTTATCCGACATCTGCGCGAAAATTGTCGAGGAATAAAAGAAAACAGAAAGCGAAGCAGCGTTCGGGTGGATTTAGGTTGAAATACATTACGCGACGTTACGAAGATCGGCGATTAAAGCGAGTGACAGTCGCGCGTAAAAGCGAGCAGAAATCCCACGGTGGAACGGGACTTACCTCGTGTCCAAAGTGGCCGAAATTGCTTCACTGTACCCGGGTTTGCCTCCGCCTCAGCCCCGCTCTCTTTTCCTATACCATCCGCTGCGCCCTAAGATTTTCTTTCCTCTGCCTCTACTGAGCAGGAGCACTCCTCGACTCCCGCTATTATTTTCACTAAAATTTATGAAAATTTATGCAAATGAAAATCAGCACTAACTGTTCGTCTCTTGTTATACTTGGGGATGATTTTTTTTCCCTCTCCTCTCTCCCCTTACTTTTTTTCCTTCTTTCAAAATAAATGAACTCCCCCACACAGCATGAAACGTAGGGACCTTTTATAATAAGCAAATACGTAATAAACATATTTCAAGAGTTGAGTTTTTACGCACGGCTCTGCATTCCAAGTAGCAGTGTAGATTTTTGTGGCATTTGACAGTCTACGGTGGCCCCAGTGGAGAAGTCACATTTTTAAGAGTTTTTAGACAGAATTCCTCACTGTATATTAATGAACGGAGGGGCCCCCAAGCTCGGAACAGTCTGGCCCCTGGCTTATGGGACTGGCCAGTGTAAACAGGAGCAGGAGCAGGGGCCAAATTGAATCTACAGGGATGTGGAGGAGAGGTGTATGGATTTGTATTGATCCTAATTGGGTATTGGCATAAATTAAAGGGCTTAAGTGGGATCTGTCAATGCGGCCAGAATGTTTAACCCTTTAAGATCACGACATGAAAAAGAATGACATTTGACACACTTTCACTTTTGGCTAGAATTATCTTTAGAGCTCATTCTGAAACTTCACCTAATTGTCCCGGATTTTATCAAACTCTAATAAACAATTTTACATTTTGAAATCTTGAAAATGAATTCACATTTTACATATACTCAATACAATCTGAATATTAAGCAGTATTTGAAATAGTCACTTTTTTATGGAAATTTAAATTAAGAATTTGCTGTGCTAAAAAAAAATGTTTGGCTCGTTTTTTGTAACTTTCCAATTTCAATTAATATTACAAAAGTGTTTTACTTTGAGCTTACAGCCGTCAGCAAATAAATACATAAATAACTAACATGACTTTAATATTTCAGTATTTATTTCACTGTTCTGTTTTATTTCGTTCAGTGTAATATGATTGGTGTTGTAATTCTAAAAAGGCACACGGGTCACTACATAAAAGTGCATTTTCCCACCACCTTCTCAGTAAAATCTTTTCTAAACCTCTTATGTCATTTCTCCAAACCTGTCTTGCTTTGGGAGAGCCTGTTATCACCCATGGGTGCGTCCATAGACTCCGGGGTCCCCCACATCACAACAAAGCGCCTATTCACCCTTCTTTGGCTCCCCTCTCTCCTCTCTCCTGCGCCGGTCCTCCTCCCGTCTCCGCTCAGCCCCTCAGGACCGCTCGCTCTGACCTTGTTTTGGGGCTGCTTTTCCTCAGCTCCCCTGTCAGCCCGAACCAGGCCAAACCAGGCCAAAACAGCTCCTAACTGCCCCCTTCATCACGCGCACAGGGGTACCCAAGGCGAGATAAAGCGCGTGCGTTTAGTCCCGTTCATGGAGCTCGTGCTGGCAGCCCTGAGGGAGCGCGGCCTGTTAATGCCGCATTCTATTACACAATCAGGTCATAAGGAGCACATCAGTGCGCGCGTATTCTTATTATGTCATTTCATACGCGCGGACGAACACAAACATTCCAGGAGTTACGCACAAGTGATGCAGTGACACAGGACTGGAGTGGAGCCAGTGGGACCTGTTTACACAACAGTGGCTGTTAGCCCACTGTATAAAATGAGTGATGAGCAGTGAGGAAGAGCTGAGCTCTCAGATATGTGTTCTGTGAGCACCTGCTGTGATAGACCTGTCCTGTGGCACTTTGTCAGTGTCCACTAAAATGAAAACGAAGCCTGGATGTGTTTGTGCAGAGCTGATCCAGCGGCGTGTAGCGCGCACTGGCCGGGCGGAGGTCAGCGCTCTCTCCCCTCTGTATCTCTCTATATTTACTACGAGCCCGTTTTGTTTGGGCTGCAATTAAAAAGCAGCCAATCGGAACAGCCGAAGGAGGGCTCGCGCTGCCCCGAGCCTCAGCTGCCAATCACGAAGGTGGCAGCCAATCATCGCGCACGCACGCACAAGGAGCGCACGGGCACGTCGGTGCGCTGTGCGGTGGGCGGGGCCTTTGCGCCGTGAGGGAGAGAGAGCGCGAGAGAGAGAGAGCACGGGAGAACAAGCGAATGAGAGCAGAGGCTGCGGGCAGCGCCGCGCCGTTCCACGGGCTGTACTTGAGCGGGAGTTTGTGGTTTGGCAGGTTTATACACATCAAAACAGAACAAAGAGCTCCACGGCTCACACGCGAGAAGAAAGACTCAACCGAGACTCAATTACAAACAGCGGACACTGCCGCAGCCCGCGCGCCTGGACTAAGGACAACTCACGGAGATTTGCCTTTTTTATTACGAGCAAAAGTTTGTTTGGGACAGCGCTATTTTTCTGTTCGTTTTGAATGTGAATGGTCCCCATCTGCAAACTTTGTGCCTGGACTGCACATGGCTTCAAAGGGCTTCTAAGGTGGAATTAAAGTGGATCATGTTGTAAATGCGCGGACCGTACCAGCTGCTCCTCGCACCATCTGAAGTTTGGCGTTTTTACGCGCGTCCATGAGACTCGCCAAAAGCTCCCCTCACTTTGAAAGTTGAATAATTCATGAGATACAATTCGCCTGCTCCAAACAAGTGACTGTAAAAGGGAGGGGGGTTATCCACAAACATATTCATAAGGGTTGACGGAATGGCCACCGCGGCTTCCAATCCTTATCTGCCCAGCAATAGCATCTTATCATCCGGATCCATCGTGCACTCTGACTCGGGAGGAGGGGGCATGCAGCCGGGCAGCGCTGCGGTTACGTCGGGCTCTGGGGGCTACAGGGGAGACCCCTCAGTCAAGATGGTGCAGAGTGACTTTATGCAGGGCGCTATGGCAGCGAGTAACGGAGGACACATGCTGAGCCATGCCCACCAATGGGTGACTTCTCTGCCGCACGCCGCCGCTGCGGCTGCGGCTGCCGCGGTGGCCGCAGCCGAGGCGGGCTCTCCCTGGTCGTCCAGTCCCGTGGGGATGACCGGCAGCCCGCAGCAGCAGGACGTGAAGGGCTCCAGCAGAGACGACCTGCACACGGGCACCGCGCTGCACCACAGGCCGCCGCACCTCGCCCCTCACCAGACACACGCCGGGGCGTGGGGCAGCACCACAGCCGCGCACATTAACTCCATCTCCGGCGGGCAACAGCAGCAGCAGTCGCTCATTTACTCGCAGCCGGGGGGCTTCACTGTGAACGGCATGCTGAGCCCGGGCAGCCAGAGCCTCGTGCACCCGGGCTTAGTGCGCGGGGACACCCCGGACCTGGAGCACGCGCACCATCATCACCACCACCACCAGCACGCGCACCACGCGCACCACGGCCACAACAGCCACGAGCCGCACTCGGACGACGACACGCCGACGTCGGACGACCTGGAGCAGTTCGCCAAACAGTTCAAGCAGCGGCGGATCAAGCTGGGCTTCACGCAGGCGGACGTAGGGCTCGCGCTGGGCACGCTCTACGGGAACGTGTTCTCTCAGACCACCATCTGCAGGTTCGAGGCGCTGCAGCTCAGCTTCAAGAACATGTGCAAGCTCAAGCCGCTGCTGAACAAGTGGCTGGAAGAGGCCGACTCGTCCACGGGCAGCCCCACCAGCATCGACAAGATCGCGGCGCAGGGCCGCAAGAGGAAGAAGCGCACGTCCATCGAGGTGAGCGTCAAAGGGGCTCTGGAGAGCCACTTCCTCAAGTGCCCCAAGCCCTCCGCGCAGGAGATCAGCTCACTGGCCGACAACCTGCAGCTGGAGAAGGAGGTGGTCCGAGTGTGGTTTTGCAACAGGAGGCAGAAGGAGAAGCGGATGACGCCCCCGGGAGTGGGAGCGCAGACACCGGAGGATGTGTACTCTCAGGTCGGCAATGTGAGTGCAGAAACACCGCCCCCCTCCATGGACTGCAAAAGAATGTTCAGTGAGACATAGAACAGCACAGATACTATTTTATATAAGACTATCGGCCTCATAGCCAAATCTTTTGATACTGTGATTGTGAGGGATTATGACTGCAAATGTGTTATATTTTTCACCAGAAAAATCACAAAGAAAAAAAAACTACCTTCCCCTTTTCCTCCCAACACCCCAAACACGCACCTTCTTCAGGCCCTCAAATGTCTTAACCTAAAAGGTACCTTCTGCTTTTTTCTTTCAGGGGCATTTTTTAGTAGATTACTTAAAAGATGCAAGTGAGGCGAGCGACCAGAGGGTGACTACCACAAGTTCATTCCACCAGGTAATTTTGGCGCATTAAGGAACCCCAGTGTTGTGCTTCTTCTCTTCTCCCTGTTCCGATGATCCCTCCTCATGTGTGTGTTTAAACAAAGGAGCAGGCTTTTGTATTTGTAGAAGGGGCTCGGGACTGTGCGCCCCTGCCCGCAGCGAGGGGACTCTGACCGAGGGAGAAGAAGACATCCGGACGCTTCCATGCTTCAGCTCTTTGCTTTTTCAGAGGAGGACATCTCGCTCCTGTTTGTCCCTCACACACACGCTCCCAACCAGGATTAGCATTTGTTTTGTTTTTTCGTCCCTGAGCCCCAGAGAGAGGAAAGAGCCAGGACCAACCAGGACTGTCCCGCCTGATCTCAAAGATCACCCCTTCTCTCTTGTTTTTTGATAATTATTATTTAAAAGACTTTGACACCGTGAGTGGAATTTTCCTGCCTTTTTCAACAAATAGAGCATAAGACATTTGAAAAGACTAGCTGCACTTATTTCTGAAAATGTGTTGCCAAGTGTGACTGGGTGGGTGCTGTGGATACACTATAATGCTGCCCTTTCTAAGCAGTATTCTTTGGTAGGTTTTAATAAACAAAACTGTGTAAAGCCGGCAATAGAGAACACTAGATCAGATTCTGGTCTGACTTATATTTACGTTCTATTTTTCACCAGAATGACTTGTTTTAATATTTTATTCGGAATACATAATTATTCCAAATGGTAATTTATTTTTTCTCTCTCCCAGGAACTTGTTGTGTAAGATGCTTTCTCTTTTTTTTTCCCTTCAATTTGAATAATTTGACTTATTATTATTATTATATTTTTCTCTTGTCGCCCTTCAGTTGTTTTCTAAAAGGAGCACAATTCATCGTAAGCTGACCGTTGTTATAGGTGATAAGGCTATATTTTGATGTGATCATTTGATTGTAATTTAATTTTCAGTAGTGGTTCCGTACGAGCTGATTGAGACAATAAATTTGTTAGACTGAAATTACGCACGTATGTGTGTCTTTTGCCGTCCTCACTATTGTCCCTCTGCTTTTGCTTGGAGTTGGGTTTGTGTGCGTAAAGCTGCAGCTGCTCTAGACGTAAGAAAATGGAGGAGTATTTTGTCCCAGGCGCGCGCCCATAATGCCCTCTATTACTTTAATGCAAAACACAGACTCAGAATGATGTGCAACGTTGGTTTACAAATGTATAAAAGCACTTACGAATTGTTTCCTTTGGCCAAGCGAACTGTGTGGTAAAAGTCTGATTCTGTGCGTAAATGTGCACACCAAACTGTTACAACAACGTATTTCAATGTCCACGTATAAAAATATTGGCTAAAATGCTTGACACAGGCCTTGGGTTACTGCGTCCTCGGTTTGTTTACATTTGGCACTGTCAGGCCTCACCTTCAACATGGACCGGTCAAGAATGTATTTCCAGGACAACGTTTAGAAAATCACAGAAAATTCATTCTAAGCAAACGCCAGTGCTGTAAACAAATGTTAATAAAATAAAAGTGATATAATGTGTGTTATCATGTACAGTGTAGGCCCTCGCAGACTGGTGTTTGTGTGAGCTCGGTGTGAGTGCTGCTGTGGCCCGTCTGCTCCTCTGTGTGGCGGGGTGAGAGAGCGCTGACAGCCGCTGGAGCACGGGGCACTGGGTCACTCGCGTTTATTGATTGTGTCTCTTGTGCACTTTGCTGCAGATGAACGGTGAAGCGCTGTTGACATGATTCATATCAGGAGTGCTCTCTTAAACCACAGCTCACATCTCTGTAGTGTCTGAGGCTCCACTCTTTCTGCACATGCTTTGTGAGCAGTGGTATAATGGGCATTACAGCAGGCCTCTTCTCTTCACGTTAAAGCCATGAAATCTTCACGGCTGCGCTTCAAACTTTCTTTCTCTTTGAGTCGTCTTACGCCTATTCAGCAAAACTCACAAAACGTGTCTTCTCGCTGCTGGATTTGAATTTCGCGGATGATTTCCCATACTAGTTGCTTAGCAACGATTTGAATGTTATAGAGAAGTAGGCATCATTTTTCTTTGTCTCCATTAGTGAAAGTGGCAGCCACACACTCTCATGTAGTGTCAGATGTTCAGAGTGGCTCTGGTTGGCTCCAACCTAAACTCTAGAGTAACAGCGAGCTTAGATTTCTGACAAACACAGCGCCTGAGCTGCACGTCACAGCAACTGGGCTACAGTTTAAACTATTTATTATAAGAACATAATATGTGTGTGATAATTATAGTGAAACTAATACTTTGCACGAGCTCATCACGCAAAACAGCTTTTACCCAAAAAGCTATGTTTACATTATTATTATAATGCATATTATAACAATTATTTCAGTAGGATGTACGGTCTTTTATGTCACAAATTGGAAAATAAACTCTATATTATGTATTTAACCCCTTCCCCAATAAGCAAACAACATGAAATAACAGTTGAATATAATATTTACAGTTTAACAGTAATAAATGTATTACGCGTAAAACCGCACCAACAAACTGGGCCCAGGCTAATTCATCCAAGAGGCTTTCTAGTTGCAAAGTATCAACACATTATAGTTTTATTAAAATAAATTGAAACATAGAAATTGGGCATTACATATTTATATAGAACCATTTCGAAAGGGAGGTCACGTCCCCGAACAGTTTACTCACATTGATATCCGTTAATACTCTTAAACGTTTCCAATAATTGCGCGCACATGTTATAGTATACACTGGGACCGTGGGTTTCATTTCACTCGGGTAAAAATAGCAGAGGAGGACGTGCTGCTGTTACAGTCTACCTTGCCTTGCCTACCTTGACACGGGCTCATTATGCATGCAGCTCCAGCGCTCCTCTCTGTAGCAGCAGTCACATGATAAGCCCGCTACGCTCCCCGACGCACAAGACCTTCACCGCGCTCCAGCTTTCCCCTCGCTGCTACCAAGTTAACTCGAACAAATCCCATCCAGACCTGCGCGCTTTACCGTGCCTGCACATATACCCATCTCCAAAAAAAAAAAAAACATCCCTCAGTGTGCCAACAGCCCGTGTGCAGAAATATCCCAATCTAAGAAGAGATTTTAGCGGCACAAAAAGAGTTTAAATCTTATAATGGGTTTTGATCCGCCTATTCTCCGACAGCTTTGCCTTTTTCATGGCTCTTCAAAACCGTGTTGGCAGCAGCATGACGCACGCCAGGCCTGCTCAGAGCTGCGTTCAGGCCTTGGAGCACTTCTCTGCAGTTCCATAGCTATGTGGGTTTGGGTGCATATTTCACGTGCACGTTATCCTAGCGCGCTTTTGAAAGTTCACGCGAATCTACAAGCACGTTGAACCCAGCACATGTTATGTTAGCTGGCTCATCATTCATCAATCACTCGGCACTGTCAAAGCTGGAGCGTGTAATCTATTAGAATGACCTCTAATCACCTAAATTTGCTTTACACATCCGCTTAAGGAAAAAGGTCTCGTGTGTAAAGGTTCCGTGCGTAAAAATCACATGCTTTGCTTTTTATGACTTATAGGTCACCGTTTTTTGTGAAATACACAGTTACAACGGATACAAACATTTTAATATCCATGATTTTTGCGTAACAGCGTAAATACAGGAATATTTCCAGTTTAATATGTGTTTCCAAATGTTGCGTCCAACTGCACAGCATTCTGAGCGTTAAAGACTGTTTTAAACTACATTGAACTTTTATACATGTTTTAAATTGATACGGTTTTTTTGGTTACGAACACGCACTGTTTATAGGTAGATCACAATACACATCAAGACACTTCCTATAGATAATCAAAACATGTTAAATAAATAATACATATTTATTTATGTCTCAGTGCGTCTGGAACATGTCCGGTGTTGTGGTCACCTTAGCCAGTGTACCTGTGGTCGCCAAAACAACATTACGCACGCCTCTCCCAGTCTCCCATCCTCATACTGTATTTACTCCACGTGTCGAGCGCATGAATATGGATTATTTCTGAGCTCTTCTCCGCGGGGAGCCTTCCTTTTTTCCACGTCCTCATGGATTTATGTGAGCAGCGCAAAGAAAGAGAGAAAGAAAAAATGAAGGAAGGAGAGGCAAGGAGGCTCAGGCGAGATACGGTGTCTGCGTGTGTCTGCTGCTTTCTGATGACAGTTATTTTACAGTAAGTATAGTAGGATTGCCTCACACTGATCACGTGGCTTACGTTACGCATACTGTCATTATTATATGGAGTTTATGATGTTCACCTTAGTTCACTTCACACTTCATTACCGTGGCTTGGAAATGAGGGAAAACTGGTGATTTATTTTAATGTCTTCAGGGAAAATGCATACTACTGTTGTTGTTATTATTATTTAAATTGCATTATTATTATTATTATTATTATTATTATTATTATTATTATTATTATTATTATTATTGTATTATTTTATAGAATATTTTATATTGTTTTACATGGTAAATACAAACACAAAATAGGATTAACCTACATTTTCATTATATGGGCATGGTTTAATTTTGCAATATATTTACAGTTTTTATTACACAGTTTTGAGGGGGAAAATAGCCAAAATACAGATGCGTAATTTCATACCATGAAGGCGAAAGATTTTAACTTGAAAAAAGTGTTTATTTACGGATCTAAAGTATTTATTTTTGTCTGAACTTTAGAGCCTTCAACTATGACTATTTATGTTGTAGCGTAAGTTAAAAAAAAAAAAAAAAAAAAAAAAAAAGAGAGAAAAAAATATTATACATTACGTACTTATTTGGTCTAATTTGAGGTTACGGTAGAAAACCACCTCAAAATGGACCATGGTAGCCTGAACCTGGTTTAGTCCTTGTTTGTTCTGGTTTGGAAACGGTCTAATTTTGGTTTAGAATTGGTTTAGTCCTGGTTTAGTCTTGGTTTAGTTCTGGTTTAGTCCTGGTTTAGTCCTGGTTTAGTTCTGGTTTAATCCTGGTTTAGTCCTGGTTTAGTCTTGGTTTAGTCCTGGTTTAGTTCTGGTTTAATCCTGGTTTAGTCCTGGTTTAGTCCTGGTTTAGTCTTGGTTT